TACTTCTGCCTCCTGTTTTCCTCTTCAGCAACAACCTTGTATAGTAACTTGGGCCAAAAGAGACTGATTTGCCCTAAATCACCCAACCAGCTTTCATGCTTAAGGAAGGACTAGAAACCACGGTCTCCTGGTTTCTAGGCTTAACCACTACACCAAACAGTCTCTCTGAACAAACAGCTGTATGAACTGTTTTTTGTTTTGCTTTGCTTTGTTTTTTTGTACCAGAAGTGATTCCGAAGCAATGCAAAACCGTCAATGTTTTTCTGACAAGAAAACACAGAGCATGTGATAGCCTGAAGTGTTTCTCATAATTCAGGTAATTTTTAGTAATTTACTACCTCACGAACATTGGTTCATCTTAAATATATTCCATTTCAGCAGCAGTTCAGCGTCAGCTGCTATTAAGCCAATATACTTAGCTAGTAGAAGTGAGGGAAAAACAAGTGACAAACCTGAATACATGGCCTACCTATTTGTTATTGTTTAAGGTCAGTAACAAATCCTCATTTATACTACAAGTTGTTTAGCAACTGCCTCTTTAGGAACCATAGGCAGTTATGACAGTGATGAAAAAGTAATTTTGTGACCAGTTCTTGCATTTATAACAAAGGAGAGCAAAGGAGAGATGTAGTAAAATTGTAAAGCAAAGGAGAGATGAAGTAAAATCATAAGCATAGCAATGGCTTCATTTAACAACTGCTTTGCTTAAAAAAATGAGCTGCTAGTCCCAATTGTGGCTGCTAAAAGAGGACTATTTGTACGTTTTAAAAAGTCTTAGGCACATGCAGTTACCCCTGAACAATCCTTTGGTGAGGAACACTAGAAACCTCTTATATGTAATGCACAATATCCATTCAGGAGCCGACCTTCAGTTTTATCATGGTTTAAACATCTGGCTTAATTTTGTACTTTCTTGCATTTCCCTGAATTTTGCCTTATGAAGCATTCTGGAGAAATTCTTTATGGACGTTTTGCTGAAAACAGAAAAAAATGAATTAGTGATTTATAGATTTGATTATTAGAAAGGCTAAAATATGGAAAGAAGGGAATCATAATGTAAGTTAAAGAGGAAGGACTGATGATAAATTTATTTATAACTACTGTGAAGATTGAAAGTCACTTCTCTATATTTTTTCTTTTTCTTCCTTGTTCTCTTCTTTACTTATTCACTATTTTTTTCACTCTTTTTCTCAAAATTTGTATTGCTTTTGTTGTTGTACAAAATTTTTCCATGAAAATAAAATAATACATCTGGAGAATGCTTATACATCCTTTTGTGCATATTGGTTGGTCTCAATAAAGGGAACACCATGCTTTTGGCATAAGGAAGCTAATAGATCTACAATATCTACAATATGTCTATGTTTGAGCATAGATGCTACAATTCTAATAGTACTCTTTGCTTAGAATCTGATTCCTCTGAATACATATGCAAGGGGAATACTACATTTGTATCAGGTAGGGTATCTCTTGCTGGGGGGCTCTGTTATTAAGAAGCTTTCATTTTCAACATCAAGTACCATAACTCAACTCTTGGAGTCACACACCTTCTACCTCATGGTTGCAGCTGAATAAACCGTTTTGTCCTTTGGAACGAGCTGCCCCCAGAGATCCGGGTGATCCCGGATCTCCCCTCCTTCCGCCGCGCCCTTAAGACCTGGTTATTTCAGCAGGCAGGACTGGCCTAGGGGTATTTTAAAGGGGTTTTAAATTAAATTTTTAGTAGAAGCGGCCAAATTTAAATAGTTATTTTTAATCTTTTTAAATTTTGTATTGTATCACTGTTTTNATTGATAGTAGGCAGGGAATAGCATGAGTCAATCAATGCTCCTGCCAGTTGACCAATTGGGGGTACAGAAAATGGCACACCATATAGCCACTTTCTGCTGCACCTGTTGGAATTACGAAAACCCTTGGATCTCTACCCAATCCATAAAAGGAATAAAAAAAATTAAGCCCCATATCCCACATTTTCAGACCCCATTGTACAGTATTTATCCACTTTTCTCAATAATCTCTACAGTTGCTAAGAGAGAATGCGTACTATAAAGCTGCTAAGCCATATTTTCTCCACTGTATAGAACAGCTCCTGTGAGTTATGGCTTTGAAAAGATAACATATTGGCATTTTTTCAACAAGGCACATTTCTCACTGACTGTAATTGTAGCCACATGCTGCTGTGATGACTTGAGAGGGAATATGTTTTAAATAAACAGAACACACATTTTTTTTGAGGTGGGAGAACTGAATCAGGAGTTGGGTGTTGATTATGGAAAATAAACTTGCTCAGGATTTAGAGTTGTTGTTGGCATTATTATTACTAAATGTTTGACCTACCTACCTACCTTATCTACCTACCTTATCTACCTACCTTATCTATCTGTCTGTCTGTCTGTCTGTCTGTCTGTCTGTCTGTCTGTCTATCTATCTATCTATCTATCTATCTATCTATCTATCTATCTATCTATCTATCTATCTATCTATCTATCTATCTATCTATCTATCTATCTATCTATCTATCTTAAATCTATTTAAAATGAAAGTGAAGATGGCAAACAAGCCTAATACTTCTGCCTCCTGTTTTCCTCTTCAGCAACAACCTTGTATAGTAACTTGGGCCAAAAGAGACTGATTTGCCCTAAATCACCCAACCAGCTTTCATGCTTAAGGAAGGACTAGAAATCACGGTCTCCTGGTTTCTAGGCTTAACCACTACACCAAACAGTCTCTCTGAACAAACAGCTGTATGAACTGTTTTTTGTTTTGCTTTGCTTTAGTTTTTTTGTACCAGATGTGATTCCGAAGCAATGCAAAACTGTCAGTGTTTTTCTGACAAGAAAACACAGAGCATGAGATAGCCTGAAGTGTTTCTCATAATTCAGGTAATTTTTAGTAATTTACTACTTCACGAACATTGGTTCATCTTAAATATATTCCATTTCAGCAGCAGTTCAGCGTCAGCTGCTATTAAGCCAATATACTTAGCTAGTAGAAGTGAGGGAAAAACAAGTGACAAACCTGAATACATGGCCTACCCATTTGTTATTGTTTAAGGTCAGTAACAAATCCTAATTTATACTACAAGTTGTTTAGCAATTGCCTCTTTAGGAACCATAGGCAGTTATGACAGTGATGAAAAAGTAATTTTGTGACCAGTTCTTGCATTTATAACAAAGGAGAGCAAAGGAGAGATGTAATAAAATTGTAAAGCAAAGGAGAGATGAAGTAAAATCATAAGCATAGCAATGGCTTCATTTAACAACTGCTTTGCTTAAAAAAATGAGCTGCTAGTCCCAATTGTGGCTGCTAAAAGAGGACTATTTGTACGTTTTAAAAAATCTTAGGCACATGTAGTTACCCCTGAACAATCCTTTGGTGAGGAACACTAGAAACCTCTTATATGTAATGCACAATATCCATTCAGAAGCCGACCTTCAGTTTTATCATGGTTTAAACATCTGGCTTAATTTTGTACTTTCTTGCATTTCCCTGAATTTTGCCTTATGAAGCATTCTGGAGAAATTCTTTATGGACGTTTTGCTGAAAACAGAAAAAATGAATTAGTGATTTATGGATTTGATTATTAGAAAGGCTAAAATATGGAAAGAAGGGAATCATAATGTAAGTTAAAGAGGAAGGACTGATGATAAATTTATTTATAACTACTGTGAAGATTGAAAGCCACTTCTCTATATTTTTTCTTTTTCTTCCTTGTTCTCTTCTTTACTTATTCACTATTTTTTTCACTCTTTTTCTCAAAATTTGTATTGCTTTTATTATTGTACAAAATTCTTCCATGAAAATAAAATAATACATCTGGAGAATGCTTATACATCCTTTTGTGCATGTTGGTTGGTCTCAATAAAGGGAACACCATGCTTTTGGCATAAGGAAGCTAATAGATCTACAATATCTACAATATGTCTATGTTTGAGCATAGATGCTACAATTCTAATAGTACTCTTTGCTTAGAATCTGATTCCTCTGAATACATATGCAAGTGGAATACTACATTTGTATCAGGTAGGGCCCAGGGCTTTTCAACCTTTTCACCCATTGTACCACGTTTAGGATATGGCAACATCCGAGTACCACCAGTCGCCTAGCAAGGTATTAAAAACTTGATGACCAAAAAAAGAGAGGAAAAAAGTGATAAAGTACAGGTAGTCCTCGACTTATAACAGTTCGTTTAGTGACTGTTCGAAGTTACAATGGCATTGAAAAAAGTGCCCCCCAAACCACAGCTGTGCAAGACACCTGCCTGCCCGGCCGCCTATCTGAGGTTTTCATTGTTGTGAGCATTTCTGTTCAGGATTGGCAGCGGAGGTGGGGTGGGGGTGTTTGGTTTTTATTCTCCCTGTCTGCTGGGTGGTTGCAGCAGGTTTTGGTCACTTCACATGACCCTGGGACACTGTGACCGTCATAAATATGAATCAGTTGCCAAGCATCTGAATGTAAATTACAAGACCCTGGAGATGCTGCAACATTCCAGCTGATCAGTGCGTCTTCTGGGCTCAGCAGAAGCGCCAGGATCAGTGCTGCTTTCCAGTTGATTGGTGCTTCTTCAGGGCTCAGCAGAAGCACCAGGATCAGCGCCGAGCTCCAAGTGGAGCCTGGCGCTGATCCTGGCACTTCCGCTGAGCCGACAGCCCTGCAGGTCCAGCCATCTCTCGCTCAGGCTTGTGCGGTGCTGCCACCGGTTCAGCTCATTCCCCTCCCCCGCTACCACTTTTCTAGGATGGTCACGTACCACCTGCCAGGTGCCAATGTACCACAGGTGGTACCCGTACCACTGGTTGAAAAGCCCTGAGGTAGGGTATCTCTTGCTGGGGGGCTCTGTTATTAAGAAGCTTTCATTTTCAACATCAAGTACCATAACTCAACTCTTGGAGTCACACACCTTCTACCTCATGGTTGCAGCTGAATAAACCATTTTGTCCTTTTATTATGTCTTTCCTAATGTTCTCCCAACTCCTGTCATTCTCTTCCTAGCTCTTCCAGTCTTGAGGATGACCAGAAAAATCTTCACCAACAGCAGGGAGAGGTGGAGGCAACAAAATGTCAACAGTGCCTTTGCCAAGCTGAGAAAGCTGATACCCACCCATCCTCCTGACAAAAAGTTGAGCAAGAATGAGACTCTTCGCTTAGCCATGAGGTACATCAACTTCCTCGTCAAGGTCCTTGGGGATCAAGGGCTGCAGCAAACAGGTGTGAATCCACGAGAAAGGATACTGGGCCTGTTCCAGCAGAATCCACATTTGGAACGCATGGAAGAACTCACTCTCCTTGAAGACTCTGAGGTCCCTTCTCCCAATACAAGCAGCAACATCCCAGAATGCTGGTCAGAAACATCATCTCCATAATCAGTCAGTCAGGATAATCATCCTGATCGCAATTTGATAGTTCCCCTTGATACCAGTTGTGGTAGTTGTTTGCTTCCATACAGTGTTTATCTATTTATTTATTTATTTGGTCCATCTTGGTCTTTTTAAACTCAAACGTACTTTATGTAAACTTTTCTGAGGAAAAACCTGGCTTTCAATAATTAAAAAGAATTCCAGTGGCCTAATTGGCTATAAAGGGCTTTGAGTCCAAAAGACTTTGACTGGGCCTACTGAAAGTTGCCAATGGACTTGCCCTTTATTGTGACATACCTGTGAAAATTGCCAGGGTCAGTAGTTTGTGGCTGAGTGACACTGTAAGTTTTAAAACAGCTGGCTAGGAGCTCTGGGAATTTCAGTTCCCGTTGATTTGGCTGCTGAATTGACAAAGGTTAATTGAAGATCTAAGTCAAACAAATTCTCCAGTGGTGCATCTTCTCCTATGTAGAATGAATCCCTTTCCACTTCCTGTTACACCGTAGTGAGTAACCTATTTCTTCCCCACTTCCTTTCTTAAGGAGAGAAATCACATAAATTGAGCAGCCACATCTACAACTACAACTATGAACATCTCATTGTATCCATTTCAAGAGATGTGATAATATTGCCTACTATAAATTGGGTATTGTACACAACTATAAATTGGGTATTGTAAAAGAAAATATCTGGAGCTCTGGAGCCAAGGCTACTCATTTAAAAAAACTTTTTTCATTTAAGATACATTAATATCAAAGTTAGTTGAGCACTGCTAAGGTCCTCTTCTCCTTTGCCCACAATGCCCAGGTCAGTGCAATCTTCATGCTAGGAGGTGTGCATTTCATTTACTATTTTTCCTCCAGTATTTGTCAAAACCTGAGGTAGATAAAAAATTAACCAAAACAAAATGCATAGGGAATACATCTGAGCAGTTGGGAATGGATTATGCCCACTATGCTTGCTCAGATATAACCAACAGTGGAATTTAGTTATTTCCGAAATATTCAAAGATGCCTACCTTAAAAAATATGGATTTAAGTATTATTTCAATTGGATTTATAATGTGAGGAAAAAACTCTTAAATTTGGCTGCAATTAGACTTTCCAGAACATTTGCACAGATAAAAATAACTAAATAACTTCAAAAGCACAGCTGAATAGAAAAACAACTGTTTTATTTGTTGTTAGTGGCATTTTATAAATCAGAGGCACTATTTAATTATCTTTTAAATAAATATAGGATCACATGCATCACTTATGGATTTCTTTCCATGAGGGATTCCACTGCACCTAACCTTCTGCATATACTGTCCCAAACTAGCGGTCATTCATTCACTTAATTCTCATCATTGGATACAGCCACTCCCAAGTTTCTGATTTTTTTTAAAGACTTGATAGTTAAAAATCACAAGTCTCCTTGAGTTAAACACCACTATTTGAACTCTAAAAATAGCTACCAATATTATGTATTTTCAGTTAAACAACAAAGCAAAACCTTTAAATGGGGGCGGAGGGACGAAACTCTGTGGCATATGTGTTTCTAGCTAGGTGGGTTTTTATTTTATCATTTTCCATTTCTGTCACTGCAACTATGATATCATTGCCCCTGTCAAGGGCCTCAACCTTCTATATATACATCCTGAAAACTGTATAGTTGAGAGGCAGAGGTGAACTAATGCTTCTAGAGGGCAAATTTGAGCAAAATTATTGATAAAGCACTTTGCCCCTACAAAGTGATCTAAAGCCCATTGATAATAAATATTCTGCTCTCTGGCATATTTCTTTCATCTTTCATGCCAAGATTTTATTTGTTCATAGCCCATTTGATTTATGAAGGCTAAGGATACAAATGCATATTTGTAAAGGCATGCAGGTTGAATTGTACATTTGTATTAATGGGTAGCATGCAAATAAATGAATTAAATTTCAGCTAATTAAAAAAATCACTCCTAATACATTTTAGAGCATATATTCTCAGTCATAACCTTCTTAAACCCCCCTATAATCCCGTTATTTAAAAAAAAAAATGCTTTGAGTAGATGGGAAATAACAGGCATGGTAAGCCTTAGCCTAGAACTAAATTAACAGAGGGAACAACATCTTTTTTTATACTAGTAACACTGTTCTACCTCACCAGTACTATTGTTACTGCATTCCAACTGAGCCAAATGAGTTTGGTTTAGTTTATTAAAATACAGTCATAGACCAAATATACAGAATATACAGAAATGAACAAATACATTATTCTGCATCCAATTATTAAAGGAAAAAAAGCTGTTCACACTTGACAATATACACTTAGAAAAAAAAATAAAATCCAAAAACTCTGATTGACATAGGGATGTTCCAAAACTTGTCCACACTTGTGAAGACTTCTCCATCCTGATTGTTAGTAGTTAGTGCAAAATTGTCATATGAAAGTGGTCTAATAGTTTCTAAAAAGAATGAAAATTAACTCTGCCCTTCAAAAATGATAGGACATTTCAGAAGCTGGGATTAGACTGACATTGAGCCTAGGGGTTCTGACCTTTAGTTTATGTATTTGGCTGAGCAGGTAATGAGGTGAAGCTACTACCTGTAAGATTATGGCTGAATGCCAAATGAGACATAGAGTCCCTAATGTTGGGTTACTCATCAAGTTGTGAAGGCACTCATACAGTTACTGTGAAGGAAATAAACAGCTTGCACTGATTATACTATCTGCTGTTTTCCAACTCCCATAAATAATTTTACATAATTTCAAGATGGGGCAAAAACTATTGTAGTAATAGCAAGATATAATAGAGGTAGGAGTAATAGCAAGGTATAATGGAAGGTTTTTTTGAACTCCTATGGCACTTAGCAACTAGTGTTCTTCACTAGCTGTAGACCTTTAACATGGATATGGGATGAACAATCATTGTGTGTTTTCTAACTCATAACTTATGATTTAGCATTGTGGGCAAAGGAAATAAAGATGGTTCTTTCAACTCAGTTTGGTTGCAATATATGAACTGAGCCACAAAAATTTCCTTCCTTGAGTTATTGTTAACTTAACATTGGGTTTAAATTAGTGGAGTGGGGTGTGGGAAAGACTGGGAATGGCTTAAGGAACTCCCCTTGTGAGGATTTCTGGAATTCTGGTCGCCTCAAAAAGGGCCAAGTTTATCAGGGCTCTAGTGCCAAATTCTTTTCCCAAGTTTAAAGCCTTCATCTACAATATTACCAGAATTGTGAGGATCTTAAAACACTATCCCAGGGGCCCAAGGTCTATATTTTAAGACAGCAGCAATGCTAGTGCAGAACACTTTATTTCAAACTAAATCCTGCTGAATGAGACATTAACAATTTTGCATTTGAAGTAAAAATGTAATCCTGAGAATTGAATAGTGACTGCAGAAGTTATTATGTCTGTATTTAAAAAAGAACAAAAGAGAGAAATCTTCGAAACATGTCTTTAGGTCTGAGAAGGAAGGATGAGAAGGAAGGACAGCATGGTGGAGGGAGAATAGAATGGAACCATTGGCAACCTACTGAGTCCATCTCTGTCTTCCTTCCAGATGCACTGGTAGATTTGTCCCATTTTTTCCTCTCTGGAAAGGATTCTGTTCATTTTGGAAGTCAATTTTTCTTTTGTCATAGAAAATACAGTTAGGTTCTGTTCAATTTTCAGAGAGTTACTCTGCTGATGGACAGAATCTGAAGTCTTTTTATATATTTTTCAGCATTCTGTTGTGTTGGAAATAATTAAAAAGGTTAATATTTTTATTATTATTCTTGTCTAAACACACCGTAGTCACATCTTTTGTGACTATAGTTAAATATGAGGTATTTGATGTGTGAAAACATAACAATGATTCATGAGATTCTGGTACTTTTGGCAACAATGCAAAATGCAAAGAATGTATGAAGAAATTCTAAAACTGCTGTTCGATATACACATGGTATAACTTACTGGTTAAATAATATCAGTCATGTCTCAAAATATCCATGTTTGTACTGGCACTGTCCATTTTAACTTTTATTTCTGATGATTCAAACTTTCCAAATACACTAAGCAAATGAAAAAAATATTAATTCTCTTAGCAAAACAATGTTCTGATGCAAAAGCAAAAGGTAAATATTTCATGTTATAGTGAGAAAAGTAAATGTAGTATTTATTAAGTATCCTGTTATTACTGTATATCTTCTTTCTATTAATATACAATGTCTGTTTTTAACTAAATGTCTCTACCAAAGATTTATTTTGTTGGCACTTTTTATGTTTTGTAAGCCCCCTTTGTTTGACCAAGAATCTTTTATATATTTTCTTGTACATTTCCCTATTTAATCCTTATATATTAAAAAAAAGATTTGCAAAATCAGTCTTTCTTATATTAAAAATGCAATGTCTTAACTGACATTTTGTTAATAGGAGTTGAACTGATTTTCTATTTTCTCTCTGCTATTGGAAATAACAGAAGCAAGTAAATATTCAGTTATCTTTTACAAGGAAAAAACAATGGATGCTTTGTAATTTTGCAATTCTTTAAAAAGAAATATACAGGTTTAATGGATAAGCAAGCAAGAAGACAGCATTACTTTGAAAGCGCTATTGGTTCTATACTTAGTTTCCTGGGAATTACTTTTGTCAGGCAGAAACCAATTATCTACACACATTTCACATTTCTCCATCCTGGGCAACAAAAACAGATTCTTTTGAATCTGCTAAGCAGTCAAATATGAATACCATAAAGTAGTCTAGATTAATAATCAGTTTTCAGAAATATAAATTCTGTAGACGTACTAGATGAAATTTAAAGAGTGCTAATTTTTATATTCAAATAATGTTTATTAAATAGTGCTAATACTTTACATTACACATTAAATACATTGAAAACAACCATTACCTGATCTTTATGATCACCTGTAGTAGAAACCCATTTTGGGTATAGTAACCTTATTTTCTTGAAAAACAAAATGGGCCAATCTGGAAAAAAAAATCAGAAGGATTAAAATGGTATGTTTATAACTTTGCTTCACAAAGGA